GAGAGAGAGAGAGAGAGAGAGAGAGAGAGAGAGAGAGAGAGAGAGAAAGGAAAAGAGAGAGAGAGAATTCGATCGCGGAAAATAAAACTCTTCCGGACAACGTTTCAAAATCTTACTCGACGAGTAGAGTAACATTCAATTAACTAGTCATGATAAAGAAATCATAGTTCTCTTTGTTCAGATTGGTTAATTAAATGCTAGTCTACCCGTTGAGTGGAGTTTTGGATAGATCTCGGGTGCGGAAATGACGCAGGCGATACAACTTGTGGTTTTTCAATCGGCTTCACGCGCGCGCTCCAATTTTGTTGGCACGTGTACGGTAATTGCACCGTTTCAGCGTCATTGCACGAGACGTAATTTCGTACCTCGGAGGGGCGTCATGGATTTTCAAGGAATTACAGGAAAGAGCCTCTCGGCTCGTACCAAGGTGTCGCGCGCGCGCACCTTCTCTCGTACATACACGATTTTCCTCCTCGTCTACCTGAAACTGGTCCTGTTCGACGACGGTGAACATCAAAGTCGAGCATGAGGATTAGCGGTTGCTGGCCTTGTATCCTTTCATACGAGTCGCGGTGCGGCGTCTCAGAATAGAAGCGCGCTCGCGGCTCTCGACACGAGAATTCACTCTGCGTTTTGCGAGCGGCGTCTGGAGGATCGCGCGTAATGAACGACCGGGAGGTGAGGTCACGACGCGAATATCACCCACACGAGAACGAATAAAACCCTTTATTTTCTCTCTCTCTATCACAGTCGAGGCTACGAAATACAAATACATATCGCACCCCCACATCTACGACGACAGGTTCGTACATCGGTGCAGCACGTCGTCGGCGTCGTTAGAAGATACAATAGAGTACGTTTCGCAAACGACTCTGCCACATTCTGTAGAGAATCGAAGAAAAGTTCCTATCGACAACAACGGGGACGAGGTGCCGTCGCGATGAAAGAAGGCGTCATTCTACGGCCCGTCGCGGAACGAACCGTAAAGGAGTGCGGAGTTTCGCGAGATTTCGCAGCGAGCCTTCTGTCGCGAACGCATGCATCGTCGAGGAGATGACGGGTCGTCGTTACCTTGTTTCTTGTACCAGCCTCGAGGAAAGGGCTCACATTCGCATGTGAGAGATCTCGCGAAACTCCGCATCTTACAAATAAGCAATTCCTGAGAACATGTAACGATAAAATGTATATGTATATGTAACGATAAATATACATGTTCGACATGCGTCGCAAAGAGTAGCACGTTATGATACATAAAATTCACCAGCTTATGGCACGAAGTAAAATGAAGCTATAGTCTAGATTATTAAAAAGCTGTTGACGCTCGAGATGTCCGCGGCCCGCGATTGATGTCTTCGTATTCCTGAGGCGTCATTTGTATCGTGTGCGCATTAGAATTTTGCAGAAGAAAATACTCTCTTTTAATTTACGATATTTCTTTCTTCCAACTCGCATCGGCGAAATCACCGGGGAGAGCTTGTTGCAATCTCTCACCTTTGACTTTTGGAGGCACTGACGTCATTGTTACCTGTTGCCGTGTGTTTAAAGTCGCGTTCGCGATAGATGTCCGTCCGCTGCAGCCGCGGCATCAGCATCACTTGTTGCTCGAGGCATCAGTCGCGCGCGCGATAAACTTTGTGCAACGCGATTATGTCACATGAATTTCATCGTGAACGCTCTTTCTGCACGTGTACGTGTCGCAGAGCTGCCTGACGTGTGCAATGTCGCGATGAACTACCACCCCCTCCCCCCGATCTGCATCTCTTTTCATCACCGTGAAGAAAAGAGAGACGCAGAACGAGGTTGTCGCTCTCAAGCGCACGCATGAGACAGCTCTCTACTGCATCGTGCAGCTGAATGAAGTCGCGCAATGTCGCCTCTATATATCACGCTGTCAGATATCTCTCGCGTTTCTCGAGGGTCAACAGAAGCGTGCCTTTACTCATAAATGGACAGCTATTTCGGACGCCACATATATGCGTAACATATATGCGTATAATGTAGTACACGTACATACGTACGTGAGAACGATGCCTGGATCATCGTGCTTTCCGCAGGAGAGCCGGATCAGATTCGTCCACGTTTGTCTCCTCGTGGACGAATCGATCCAACGCCACGACGGAACTTTCCTCGCGTGCATTCGCTCACATAGCGCGCGTCGCGCACGTTGCGAGAGTCATCGTGTTTAAAAAAGAATTACATCCCGCCACGCATTCAATGCACATTAATTTAACGTGCACGTAATAAGACACCTTGAACCGTGACGGCCGATTAATGCGCTATCACAATTTACTCGTTTCGTTTTATCCATCGGATCGCGCACTTGTCTACACGCACAGGCAACTACATCGTTCGCTTTTTCGGCCGCGTACGCAAGCAACAGAGTTTCTACTTACCGTTGAATCGTGTGAGTCTAATTAACGAGAAAGCGACATTTCCTCGCGTGAAAAGCAGACGCTCTATAACGTCTCATCTACGTTTCACTCGTAATTGCACTTGAATTAAAATGAAATGCTCACGCACGTATGCGTGATGTGTATGCTGTCCCTGCCATTTAGCCGTTACTCGGAATGACCCTGACCAGACGAAGCGTCTGCTGTGTCGACGACGTCGAGATAGATTTATCCAGCCGACGAACGGAATACATATAGGCGCGATTTCGGGCGATCGGAAAAAGAAGAAATCTTTCGAATTGAATGTTCCTTAAACGTAAGCCACGTCTCAAATTAATTGCCCACATCGCGCTATTTCGGATTATTCAGGGACACGATATTATATTCAGGCAGATACACGAGATCGACACTGACGCGACAAAGTCCCTGAAGACTGCAGTCGATCGTAATTATCTGTAATTACGCCTCATCGAATATTTTTTAATCTTTCTGCTACTCTGTGTATATGTGTGTTTGTCTATCTGCTGTCAAAATACGTCCAACTGATTAAAGATATTTTGTGGGGAAAACCGAGGCTACTTTATTATTGGAATAAGTTGGCGATTATTTTCACTATTCTCTAACAGATTTAGAATCAAGCAAGCAGGGATTTCGAAGCCATGTTTAAAAACCTTGCTTGCTTAATTTTTGATAACTTGTTGGAAAATACTGGAAATAACCGGTTTTGCCAACTTAGGCTCGGTCTTCCCTACTTACGGCCGATGCCTCGACAAAATTGACGAATAACGCGCAATACGAGAGACATCTTGAAATATGGCGATCGCGAATGCGCGAGTGAAATTCTCCGTTATGAAGGATGTGACACAACCGGCGCATATCCGGCGTTTTCATCTTACGATGCATTCCGCGCGAAGTAACGGCGTTACACCCTGAGCTCCGCGAGTCGTTCCGTAATCTACATGAGTGATACGAAGACAATGCCGCGCGGCAAAGCCGCACACGTATGAATATTTATTCCTAATCTGTAAAGCGGAGGTCCGTCTGCCGTGGAATCGATTACACGATACATAGAGCTTCGATTACGGGCTCTGGCAAGCCGTTGTTCACGAGACGCGCGAGTGTTCGTTGATTAATCGAAAGGCACGTTGAACGCCAGCGTCGCCCGTTAGCGGCCGTGTCGTGGATCTGTGGTCGTCGCTCCCGGGATCGATGGCTCGCAGAAACGACGTGGCGAGAAGAAGAGGGTCGCGAATCATCGTCCCAGGCGCCGGGGGAGGCGCGGAGGTATCCTTAGAAGCTGCCGCACTCCCGCAGGACGCGATTTCCCAGCGGCATGGTCGGACGGAAGTTGTTGATCACCTGCGGAGGCGAGAGAGAGAGAGAGAGAGAAAGATAAAAAGAGGAAATTAGAAACGACGACGATGCTGTCTACCCGCAATGCACTCCTGTCGACGAGACGGGAACGTGTTGCCGGTCGTCAACGTCCCGGATACCTAAAAATAGCCCGGCTACTCCGCGCTTGATGTATATCGAGCGAAAGAAAAAAAGAACGCGACTGGCCACGCGACGATATGCATCTCGCGACTGGAAAAATGGTAATCGCGTCGCCGCAGAGGCGTTCGCCGTCATGTTGATCGCGACACCGCGTCGCGATTCATTTATCAAACGGAGGAGGAGGAAACGCGAAACGATAGAACAGGAAAACGATATGGGGAAATCCTTGCGACCGTTTCAGATAAGGAGAGACCGGGGGAACAACAGGGAGCTGCCGCGGCGAGTTACTCGCGAATGAAAGAAGAAATAGCCCGATCGCGATGCCCCGAGGCAATATATAGTACACGCATTCGCTGGAGTACTCACCGCCCCGTGATTTTCATGACAGGGACACTCTTCGCCACGCGGGAACTTTCGCAAATTACGGAAAATGTTCAGTTGTCGATGAGACACTTCGATGTACTTCTTGAAGAGGATCCAGGTGACGCTCTCGTTGCACGGTGGTGTTGTCAGAGAGCCCAAGTACGTCCAGTATCCGTTATCATCTAAATACAAAAAAAAGAAACACGTTAAAATTGTTTTACATAGAAAAAAATACGCATAAACTCTAACCGGCTAACTTCTGTGTTGACAATTAAAGCAACATAACGGAACTTAGATAAACTTGTATCCAAATACCGATTTAAATCGAAAAACATTCCGCTATATAATTTGCGTGAAATCAATCGTATTGTGAAACAACAAAATCTTTGTATTATGATTCCATCATGACATGAAGAAGTCATTTGGCTCTTCGTATCATTCAATTAAGTTTAGGAATTCGGGAAAAAGCCTCTCGAGGAAATCTCAATTGGATGGCACCTTCTGCTTTATCACGGGACTTGAGGCTCGTGGTGAAGTATCCAAAGAATTACAGATATATCTTCACTTACTCGTGCGGAGGATACCGTATCTCGCGAATCGAAGAATGACTAACAAAACGTGCAATACAACGACTGCGGAGAGTGGAGAGTGTTTCGCAATTTGATTAATGTACCACTTACGTTCTCCCAGAGAGAAAACACTTCGTGAAAATGCGAAGCTACCATTCGTCTTATCTTTCAGTGTCATCGGTACGGACGTGTCTTCGAAATAATAACGATAAGTAACAACATAAGGAGGATATATTGGAGTTAATGTCTTTCGGATAACGATCCGCATAGGCGAAAACGCAGGAAATTCACGCACACACAATGCCGTGCCGTAAATGGGAAAATAGAGAACTGCTCGATTCGAATGCAGTCAAGTCTAAAGTGCAAGATAACTGTCATCACTAATGATTACGGAATTACTGTCGCTAATGACACATGCGCTATGCTTGCACAACTGGACACGCACACGTGTGATCTGCGTAAAAATTAAAGAAAAGAACTGCTGACATCGCCGAGCAAAAATGCTGCGTTGCAAGATGTCTTCTCTTGGACTGAATTAATTCTTTATGTTGAAGCATGTAATAAAAAAGAGGAACATCGATCACTATGAATCCTAACATGCGTTCAGCTTGAACTGGTCAGCCACGTGTGCTCTAAAACATGCAGGGCTTCGGAAAAACAAGCCGCGAGATGCAAGCGGGTCGAAGAGGCGCGTGTATGATTGCGAGAAAGAGATCGATAGATAGATAGATAGATAGATAGATAGATAGATAGAGAGAGAGAGAGAGAGAGAGAGAGAGAGAGAGAGAGAGAGAGAGAGAGACGCGAGTTTTTCGGACTCGTTAATTGCTGAAAAAGCGAGCGAGCAAGCGAGAGCACGCTCGAGCGCGCAGCTTCTCCTGCTCCGCGAAGTGGTTCAAGGCAATACGAACCTTGAAAGTCCCATTTGTTCTCGTGGCGTGGTATGATTCGGTCGGCCCAGCGCATGCACGGATTCACGCATCTCTGCATGCCGGCTCGTCCACCGCGCACTGTGGTGCGTGCGGTCGCGCGGACACGACAGAGAGGCAGCATACGCGAGGAGAGATTTTCGTTAGTAATGTTAATTACGGCGGCAGGCGTCGACGTTACTCGCCTTAAGGATTTCCGCGCGTAATCGAAGCGATTCACGTCGCTTTCGGCGTGCTTTCGCGCGGACGAGTTAATTGGTATCGCATAGGTCAAACGTACGTCGAACTTGGTTCACTTGTGGCAAACAGACTCGACGAGTTTCGTCGAGGTCTTCGACTGAATAATGCAAGCAGTCAAACCTTAAGAACAACAAGGACACGAATCACGAGGCGCCCGCCGTGCACCTGTGCGCGACGAATAGACGGAATATCTGATCAAAAGGGATGGAACCGCGAAATTGGCCGCTCGATAGCGACTTACCGGGCAGGAGTTTCCCGGGGTCGATCGTCTCCGTGATGTCGATCTCCTCGTCCTTGTGCGAGACGAAGGGTAGCAGGCGCGCGATTTTGTCCATCTCCTCGTGGGTCTTGCCAACCTGCAATCAAGTCGACGTTCGTTACCGTGTATATTTAAGAACCTAACGAGTTATTGTGCCGAATGAATTGACGGTTCTCTTGACGTCTGTGAGAGCTCGGAGGTGACAATGAACGGAAATGAAGCAGCAAGGAATTAATCGAGCGACTTGAATCGAATGCTCGATTAAAATGCTCGCGTCAGTGCTCGCGCTATCGATTACGCAATGACATTTTCCGAATTGCTCGACGTGTTGCGCCGTCTCGCGCCACGCATAGCACATAAATTCCCGTCGATGTCTGCGTCCCTTATATTTTATGCGACATCGCCGTATCTCGAAGCTCCTCGGTGTTACGTAAGAAATGATTATAGTTTTCCCGAGAAACAAACAGCGAGACACGCGCTCCGTGAGCTTTTCTTCTTCTTTATTTTCTTTTGCCTCAAGATCTCACGTACGTGTCAGATTTTACGCAACGACGGCAGTTACCACTCGCGAGTCTCCTCTCCTCGCGCAAACAGGAGAGATAATACATATCATTTAATGCGCGGCGAGTCGTCATCTCCGCTCGTTTCTATGGGATATCGAGTTGCGCAGCCGCAACCTAAATGTTGCACACAAAGATATTGCGCGAGGCGGAAGAGAGTGATTGCAGTTGCACGCGATCAAGGTATTCTTTATGCTCGCGAATGCAAACGATAGCGTCGTGCGCTCGATGAAAATGTATGTATCTTGTTTCGCGTTGGATCCACCGGACAATTATGTCTGTCTTGTGTTTACATAATCCACCGATTACAGTGAGACTGCCGACACTGTTATGGATTCTGCTTGCGGACAGCTTACGCGTCTTATGTAAAAGTTATAATAGAGAACCATAAAGATACACTCGTACGAACTGCGCGTCACGCACGTGGAGCATTAAGACGCATTAGAAAATAACTATGGCTTCTATTGTAATGCTTCGAACACTTGCGAGTTAATAAAGTATAGATACCAATGCCAGTCTAGACATATGCCTAACCTTGAACACTTTTATTGTTTTTGATCTTCAAATACGATCGTTTAAACTTTCAAGAAACATAGAATACATAAACACAAATTGGATATATGTTCTATGTTGACAGTTTAAATTTTCATATTTATTTAAAGGTCGCAAAACAACTCCAGGTAGCAGTTCTAAAGACGTCTGGGAGGCATATAAGTCCCGGTCTACAGTGGCTGATTCAAGCCTTAAAAGCTGATCAATTACAATCGATTATTCTCCTTACATTTGATTGTGATTAATCAATTTTTAAAATTTAATGCTTAAATTGTAGACCGGGACTTAAAGATGTCTAAGTAAAATTGGACGTTTCTTGCATGTCTTGAAGACATCTTTTAGCAGTCTGTACTGTCTGAAAGAAGAATGTACAGAGTTGGATTTGTGTCCAGGTATTAGTACTTATACTTTACACAAATGATAGGTATGAGAGAATAGAAAGACCTTGTCAGAGATAGCGACAAGATTCCCGTCAAAGACTTGCGAAATCTTCGCGGCGTAATCATTAACCAACCTTGAGGAAGACCCCTAAAACGGCCAGACCGTCGGGTGCTTTCGCGGCTTCGGCGAAAGTCTTGTACTTGCTGGTGTTCCAGTGTACCAGATGCAACTGAAACAGACGGAATTCACTCTAATGAATCCGAATCACGAGGTATTAAGTCTAATAGGCGGGCAATCGAGAAGGAGCGAAAGCAGCAGGTTGACTGGGCGCAACGAGTAATCGCTTTAATCGCTCCAGTCGACTGTCAATTAAGAGACGTCAGTTTCTATATTTGTACCAGTGAAAAGAGCCCGACACGTTCATTAATACTAATCTAGTCTCGCCTCGGTGATCGGGCGCTGCCGTACCTCTTCGCGCTGTCTTTAATCGCGCTGTCGTGTCTCAACACGGGCGATACACAATCCGGAGCGAACATATGTGCGCGATGATCTGCGTCATCGAACGGAGATGCAGCGGGCTACCTTATCGGCATCAATGAATGATAATTGCGTCTGACGGCTAATCGTTAAGGGGGATTATGCAATCGCCGGTGCGGTAACTGGACGCTGAGAAATTCCGCGGATATCCGTACATCCGATCGACCTACTTCCCCGATGCGATCGTGCCGCGGGATATCATTTGTGTGTTTCGTGCAATTTTACCATAGAACGAACGTCGTCGTCCTCCTCGTCGTCGTCATCGTCGTCGTCGTCGTCGTCGTCGTTGCCGTTGCCGAAGGCGGAAAGTGCATCGCAACGCGTTCGCTTCGCTTCGCGAGCGCATCGCGGAACGAATCGAGGACGTGCGCGGCGATCGAATTGGCGGGCTGCGATCGCCAATTGACTCGCTAATGCGTTTAAGAGCTCGGTCGTTTAATTAGCATAGAGCGCTTGAGAGTCGTTCGTTCCCAGAAGGAACCGACGGCTTGTAAAGGATATACAAAAAAGGACTTTCCCTCGCGTCCTTTTCTCGACGATAATAATTCGCGTCGCGATCGCGATTCGAGTCGTCGACTTCTCCCATTGGTCAACGATTCCGACAGATCCGACGATGTGGAAGTTTTTTCCTTCCTTTTCCCGTATTCATGAGCCGCTGATATTTTCCGCGATCGTGAACGGGGTCGGGCCGAAGTCGGCTACTTATGAAAGATCAGAGGCGCAACGATTACATAATCGATTGATCGCGATGCATTTCCGCGGCGAGCGTCGTGAAGCGAGAATTCTCGCCACGGTTTGGTCGGTCTCGGATCGCTGCGCAGGAAATGCGCAATTTTTCCGCCTAATTATTGGCATCCTCCCACACAACAACATTACGAACAGTCCGTATCTGTCTTCGGGGGTTTCTTTGACATTCAGTGACGTGGACTCGTTACGCTCGTTGCTGTTATTTGCACGCGAGCAGTTTCAACGATAATGCCAATTATTGTTCCCACTCCGCGCTCCTGTTGTTTTTTTTTCTCGCTCGTAACGCGATACGCGCGCTTTCAGCGGCGCGCAGCTGCCAGAACATTCGGAACATTTGGCACGTTGCTGGCGTATTATCGACGCAACGTTCGAGACAGGCGAGTGTAAAAACACGCTATTTATGAGGACCGAACAAATGCGAGAATAGACCGCAATTATACAGACACCGTTTGTAATTGCTGTCCTTCCGCCGCAACGTCGCACGTTCCCGGGAGAACGATCGCTTTGCGCGAAAAGATACTCGAAGACCACCGTGCAGACGTGGTGCACAGCCGAGCCTCGATTTATCCTCGACGAAGTTAAAAAGCGTCACGATAAATCTCACACGGCGAACGACTCTCGACACAAGGTCGACGCTGCCGTAAGCTCATGCGAATGATCGCGCACGGTGAATCATACCGAATCATACGCGACTGAATTATCAACGAGCTACTTCAGAGCGCGCCATTAAACGCGAATAACGGCGGAGCGCGGTTAATTGTCCGCTACTCGGTATGTGAAATCTAATTCGCCGAGCTATCGCGAGGTGTATCAACGCGAACGCGCGTTTTCGCTCTTAGACGCGGACGTTCACACGTCCTAGGAAACAATTAGGTCACCCTACCTCTCCGGCGAAAGCCTGGCCGTCTACCGTGTGCTCGGATCCCCTGGAATCGCTGCATCCCCAATGACAGTGATATTGCTCCAGCTTGTAAACGTCATCCATCAGAGGTCCGCCGCTCAAAACTGCGGCGAGAAATAGTCGAGTGCTCAATATATAACCGCGATACTTTGGTCAATTCAAGGACTTTCCCAGGAGTTTTCACGTTTTTAATCCTCGGAAATGAGTTCGGCGAGTGTCAAAACGCATTTTTCTAACATCGTCCTCTCCCGTGGGATTTACCGTGCACGAGAAAGAAAATTTGGTTGGATCCACCGAGTATATGATAAAATACGAGTCAGAATTCCGATTGAGGCCATCCGAATTCTGTTTAACTGAAACAAGTTCTAATTGAGCGGAAATCTTGTTCGGTCAAGAGCCTATTTTCAACCGAGTTTTTTTATTGCCGTGATGAGGGTGAGACAACTTATCGTTCTCGTTGACGTCGGCTGAGGGACTAGACGCATGAAGGTCAGAGAGAGAAGCGGGGATGTTATTTCCAAGCCATTATCGCGATTGATCGCAACGATTCATAAGGTTCTTTTTAACTGAACTGGTGCACATCGGTACAATAAGTTAGAGTGAAACAAATATATTTCGTTTCACACTAACTTATTGCACCAATTCAGCTGAAAACAACAGATCTGCGGTCGCAGCGTCCGGGCAATTTCGAACGCCGTATAACTTCCGAACGTGGAAGTTTTCAGAGCGCGCTTTTACGCGGAGTGTCGCGCGCGGGGTACGTAACAGCGACTCTATTACAGGATACGCTTGATTAACCAAACTACGTGTGGACCGCAGGCGGAGGCAAGGGCAGGGGATTATAGCGAGGAGGATCGTGGCATTTGTCCGCGTGACTCATTTGCGTCGGCGAAACGGACGGTCGAGGAAAATCGCGCGCTGTGCGACGCACTTCATCATGTCGTCGTTGCCGTCTTTGTCGTCGTCTCGCCCCCGTCTGTCGCGATAAATCGCACGGAAAATTTGGCGCGCGTTTTAACGCCACGCGAGCGCGTTTGTCTACAATCTAAAATTACTCGTTATAAACAAGAACAAGGTAAATTTTCGCGAACGATCGCGCCGCGACGATCCCGAGGCTAACGAAAATGGCGCCGGACGGAATTTTCCTCCTAGCGTGCGACTCCTCCTCATGAATGGGATTCCTCAATGAGAAAGGAACGAGCGCGTGTGCTGGAGTCCTCGCGAGCGCTAAAAGTAAACGTCGCGTACAATTATCGCGGCATTCTATCTGTTGTTTTGTGTCACATATCGGCCCATAGAGTGCGGTTCTGCTCCGCGCGCGCGCGCGCCACGTATGAATACACATAATACGTCGCGGCACGGTCGTCCTCATTTCGAATACGCCCCAGGCATTCTCCGCGAAGGTAAAAGGCCCTCCCCTCCTCCTCCCCTAAGTGGCACGAACTCGACAGTGAAACCTTCGTAACGACGTACGATCAAGTGCACTGCGGGAATATTCGTACACGCGGTTCACGGTTGTTATTTCAAATCGCCCTGTGTAGCGCGCGAACTGATACTCGCCCCCTTTCCACCCCGCCCGAGACGTTCTCGCAACACGTAATATCGCGACAAAACAAAACAAACGTGTGTCGTATCGCGTTCACGTCTCTTACATAAGACATCGCACTCCGCAGCGCATGTGCGATTTATGAAACAGATAAAAAAGAAATAACAAAAAGAGAGAACCGTATTGTGTGAGAAGAACAGCGCCGCGAACGGCGCGACTCGCGCAGGGTGCATCGCTGGTGCGGCCGCGGGATCTAATTTAACGAGCTGCAGAGCGCGTCGTTGCCAATGTTAAATGTTTATAGAATGCATCGGATGGAACGCGAGGTCGGGCCTCGCTGCGAACAATCGTCTAAAATTACAGTGGATCGCCATCTCTGGATAGTACGGACGGCGCTACGCTAATTTCGCGACGCGAAGCGCCACATTTGCATCCTCGTGATGATCTGCAATTCAAAATTTCGCGACCGCGATCGCGCGTTTCCACGTTCCGAAGGGAGGAAAGAGTTCTTTTGTTCGCGCGCGCGCGCGCGCACACACGCATACACGCGATCGAGTCACACGGTGCCGCCGCCGTGGGTGCTGTTCACCTCCTCGTTAAATATGTTAACGATGCTTTCCGTGTAAAAAGAAAAGACGACCGCGATAAATCGTCCTTTTTACTCGACGTTGAAGATAACAATGATTACAGAGATAACACTGCCTCGCGACTAGAAATTTAACCTATATCCCAGTCAGGTCGATCCTGATCAATTAGTCTAGTTAATATGGAGTTATCGAGTCCTGATAAGTCATGTGTGACGCAGCGCGACAGTCAGGAGAACTTATTAGTAATCGGGAGCCTGTTAATGAATGGTGATGTAACTTCGTGCAGAAAACAGATAATTGATCGGGATCATTCTGATCAGGACTATGGGATAATTCGAGACAGAGAGCAACGAGTGCGATGTCGAGACGCCACTCACATGTGCCCTCGCCGTCGACGTCCACTCGCCAGCAATAACCGGGATTAACCAGCGTCCGCGAGGCCGTCGCCGGATATTTCCATCGTAGGGGTTTGCTGCTGAGAGCCTCATGGTCGGATTCCGCCCGAGAGGTCTCAATGTTCACCGGGCTCTGCCTCGATCCGGCCGCCATGGGGAATTTTGTCACCCATGTGCTGGGGCCTGCAACAAGACAAGGAAACATCAGTTACTATACGGACGTTCACGTATCGTCACGCGAGCGGATAAAGAGAGATTACGTTGTCGCCACCGCTTGATCGAGAGAAGATAACGGTCGGCGAAAATACCAGGAGGCGAGATGTGGAATTGATGATCTGTTTTCTGCCTTCGCGAAATCGGCTTGCAAATACGATTTGCGAGGAACGAAACGCGTGGTGTACTCGCGTCAACAAGATAATACTGCTTGCGAATAAAAGTCCCGTCTTGGAATTAATTACGGTCTGAGGAACGCGCGTCGAGTCTTACGTACAGACACGTATTCTTTTTTTTATCGGACACGTGTTAAGTGATAACCGACTGAAATTCGTTCGTATCGAAGCTCCCACGCCGATCCCGCATCTGTCAGCTCCGAATTCTCGATGTTTGTTAGTTTTAAAATTAATTCGCGGCGCCGCGACGTGAAAAATACGACAGGAGCAATATTTGCTGGATACGACGCATCAGCGGAACGATAAGCGGCTGAAACCTCGACGAAAGCCGCTCATTGAAATGATATAATTTATCGCCTTTTGCAAGATCTCAGCCGTTTGTGAGAACCAACTGAAAACGAATCGCGAAATTTGGGTCAATACGAACTTTCGGCCGATTAGAGCCGATCCAGCCGATTATCCTTAATGATCACGCGCTTTCCTTATCGGTGACATATACGTCACGTGCCGTCGCATTAATCTTTCCTTATCGGCACACGTGATCTCGACGTTATTTGCTGTGCCATTAGGTGTCGAACGCGTCTTTTAGCGAGGGTTCTCTTCGCGCGAAGGACTTAGAATGCCAATGAAAGTATGACATTGCGCGGATAGAATACGCACGTATCGACTCGAGCCGATCGATCAGCGCGGATGCTAAGAAAAGGAATTTCGTAACGTTTGAGCCACCGTCAGCTTCCGCGTGATCAGGCTTAATTCTGAGATCACACGTGATAGTGACACAATATGCGGCACGTAAGTGCGCTTGTGCATGCAGCGCGTGCATCATGCACGCGTCACTTGACTCTCTGATGCATACATCACTCGCTCGCTCGTGCCTTTCTCGCGTCCTTCCCTCGGGAACTGGAAGTTCTCGAATGATCGTCATCGGGCTTGCGGTGGTCGCAAGTGTTGTGCGTACGACCATGTTCGGTCATCTCGTCGATACGCATATTGCGAAAACGAAATTGATCCGAGCTGATCGAATTTCAATATCGCGAACTTGAAAGAACAACTGTGTACACGTACCTGATATAGGGATAAGTTAAGGAATGAGAAGGCATTGTATGGTATAATTGAATGGAGTCTGAATAAAGTTTGTGATGTTAGGAAAGAATATTAATTGTATAAAAGTGATAGTTAGCGGTATGGAGGAATGAGTGTAGATAAGGAAATATGTTGTAAACCAAGTCCCTTTTTAGCTATGTAAATGAAGTAATAAATACATATATATATAGAAATTTCGGGCATAATTCTATATTGTCCAACGTTACAAAAGTTTTATTGTAGTTTTTACTGCATAATTCCTTCGTGTAGAAGAAAGATATTTTTTTTGTCAAGGTCAGAATTATGTAATTTTCAAGATGTGAGCATTGCGTGTAAAACATTCGGAATACAATGCTCGCCGCGTCGTTAGAAAAAATTGGAGGCGCAGGAGCCGGCAGCGCGAGGCGAGTTAATCATTTGTAGGCGTAAGAGCGTAATAAATCCGTCTGTGACATTGAGACCAACGGTCACACACACGTATTCCCGTTGGAGGATAACCGCGACGGTAATAAAACGCGACGGTGCGGTCTCGGCTCTCTCGGCCGGTTTTTAAGTCAAAAAGCGCCGATAGCGGTGCGCGAGGGACTCTGCGAGGTGGAATATCCGTCGGGAGACCGACGATTATCCTCCGTTCGCCTGTGAGAATAATTAGCCGTCCTTGCGCTCCAGCCGATCAGCGCAAAATAAAAGACTACTCGCGATTTAGGTCAAGAATCCTTTTTCTTCTTTTCCTCGGTGGCGCGCCTCTGTCACAGACTCGCCTAAGTTTGGCCATGGCAATCGCGAGACTGTGTGTAAACCGAAGAAAAGGAGAGCAATGTCAAAGTGTGCCATCGAGAGATCACGGTGAACGGTTCTATCGACGGTCAATGTGACGACTTGCATCTCCGTCACGTTCGCGATCTTACGAGATCGCCAAACAGACGCGAACGACTGGCGACTGTTCGAAGGTTCGTTCAACCTTGCGATCCGATGAATCTCGGGAAATACTATCTTAAGGCCACGCGCCAATCAGACTACCATGCGAGAAGAGATACTCGGTTCGCGTAAATGATTTTCTGCCACTTGAGAAGTCCAGTATTAGACTTTAATCAATCAAAGTTTTCTTCGACTGAAGTAATGGGCAAATCAATAACGAAAATTAATCAGTCGTTGAAAGTATAATTAAAATAATTTAATCGATTGATGAAATTAATTATTAATCAGAGTATAGTCATCAATCACATCAAAGTATTTGATTAGTAATTAATTTCACCAATCGATGAGGTTACACGACGTTTTCCCGAAAATTAGATAGAAAAATGTTGGTACCAACAAAAACTCCTAGGCAATACAATTTTAATTTTTGCGGATTAGTCACATTGTTGAAGTAGTAAGTCCATGAATTTTGCGGAGTCGTTTTGACATACATGTGTGTTGTGTCAAATAACAAATATTATATAACATAAGTGCATTGTGGCATTCAGTTAAAAGAAATAAATAAAAACTACACAAATAAGTGGAAACAAAGTGCATAGAGATGAACAAAGTGAAAAAGTGGTTTATATACTTATATGTAAGAGGATAAATTATATCAAACGTAATTAAACGTAATTATTAACTTTTCAGTTTTTTGACGTGCCTTAATAAATATCATTTATGATTGAAACATCGTTCTTCACATTGGAATCATAGTTACGTTTAATTGCGTTTGATATAATAATTTTTATCTTCTTACATATAAATATATAAGCCACTTTTTCACTTTGTTCATCTCTATGCACTTTGTTTTCACGTATTTATGTAATCTTTATTTATTCTCTTTTTAATTAAATGTTACAATGCACTTATGTTATATAATATTTATTATTTGACATATACGCACGCATATGTCAAAACGACTCTACAAAATTTATGGACTTACTACTTTAACGGAGTCACTGATCCGCAGAAATAATTATGTTGCCTCGGGCAATAATTTTGTTGGTACCAACATTTTCCCATCTATAATAGTTTTCGGGAAAATGTCGTGTAACCATCGATAAAATTTCATATAATTTTATAATGGCACGATTGATAAATTTGGATGACTAATTTGCCGATCATTTCAGTCCAAGAAAATTTTAATCGATCAATGCTCAACACTGTTTGGAAAAATCATAAGCCTCCGTTTGGTTTCTCTATTCAGTTACACGCACTGAGATCCTTTTTCTGTGCACAATCGACCGATATGTTAAATGCACTTGAGCACGATTTCTCCGTTTCTCTTCGCGATGTTCTTTCGCGCCAGTTCGAGAAATCGGCGACCATGTAATCTTTCGCGCGTTCTCCGTTTTCAGGACCTTTCATCTTGCGATTTCAGGCCCATCAGGTTCAACGACATTCGAACATTCGACGGTTGGGAGAAATGGAATGAAAGTATTTGTCATTTTTATCCTGGATGGGATTCAACTGAAATCGAACATTCGCTTCAGAGACAGTCTAAATCGATAGAGACGTACTGCGGTGCAGCGTGACATAGAATATACAATACACAAATGCCACCATGTTGTACACATTAATCTTTCAACGATTTGATCCTTTCGCGGTGGAGCTTCGACTCGAATTTAGTCGTGAGTCTCGACATACCGATAATCATACTAATCGTGTCACACACACATAGACAGACACACTTAAGAGAGAAAAATCGCGTATAAATCGTTAAAAGCATCGATTTTGCGAATCATTATCAGCGCAATCGATTCCGCGCAATCGCCCGAGATTCCCTGATCTTTGCGAAACCGCAAATGAGATCAATACCCCGGTAAAATGTCTTGCTCGAGTCGCGAAACGGTAACCCGCAATTACACAAGAGGCATCGTGGGAACAGTGGATTCTCTGAAATAATTTATGACGGCCAAATACATCGATCAATTTCAAGCAACGAGCCTTTCTCAGCCGCGACCAAGCTACCGGCTTAGCAGCCAAATGACTTAATCATCGCTGCACGAGGTTCTCTCTTTCTCTTTCTCTTTCTCTCTCTCTATCTATCTACGATTTTGGCAACGATCCCGATCCCGAGGATGCATGCGATTCGCGATACTCACAATCGGTGCGCACGTTCGCGGCCGTCGCTCGCAATCGGCTGAAAGATAGCGCTGACAAATTGACTCGAGATTAAGGGCGTTTCGGGGGCATGCACGGCAACCCGACGGAACAAAGTGAAACTGGGTCTGCGACCCCCCGCCTATGTATGCGTGACCGCTTGCATGTGCACGACTGTGCGTGTGTGCGAGCGTCCGTGTCGGTGTGCCGGTGCGCGCCTGTACTTTCCGCGGGAACAGGTGCATCGGCCTAGAGTACGGAAGAAAACTATTGATTTTCATTTACCCACGGAGTCGTGCCCCGTGTTCCACGAAGGCTGAGAAAGCACCCCCGTACGCTTGGCACGGCCCGCTCGCCCTGCATTCGAGGGCGAAGACAACGGCCCCGGGTCAGTGAGCCTCCGGTGCCATCCGGCAACCGAAGTCGACGAAGGCTCTCCCCCCGAAAATGGGGGTGACAACCTGGGTTTGGGAGAAAATGCGTCACTACGGCGCATCTCTCACTGATCCTTTCGTGTCCGAGACGTTTGTCTCGCGACTTATGGTTGATCGGTGCGTTCGCAAGGGGATCGATTAATGCGAGTCGATTAATGTAAAAAGAATCGCACGCATAGCGCGGACAGCAGGTCAAAGCGCGCGATTATCGCATACTTGATAATCGCGGATGTTGCTGAAAATAACCATGATATTTGCGACAAGATAACGCCGGATGTTTTCGCGCGCTTGGAAATATTATTACATAAAAGCACTTGTGAGATTTTTCAACGAGATGAGTATTATCATTAATTGGAAAGTTAACGTCGACGGTAGAGAGTTGATAAGGAAAGTCAAGAAAAAACAAGCTGATATCACGAGATTATTAAAGTACAAAGTTTTCGCGGAACTTTAATGAGAGGGGGAGAGAGAGAGAGAGAGAGAGAGAAAAGAGGAACTTGGAGAATAACGGAGAAAGGTTTACACGTGCGGCTAATGGGTTTTGTTGTTGTCACATTTGACGGAACGCCCTAAGAAAGCGCGCGTCACAACAAAATGAAAAAACTGACAAACTTATTATCCAACTTTCCATTGCCCGGTAGACGGAGAAAGAGAAGAAAAAGAGAGGAAGAGAAAAAAAGGAACAAAGAAAGTGACTTTATAACGGCAAGGATACAAGAGAAGACGTCTTTGTATGAAAATTACACGCTCTTGCTTCTAATTCGTTAGAAACTTTCGTTATTTCATGTGTGTGTGCGCGTGTGCGTTCCTACTTGAGACGCAGGTCCGAATACTTTCTCAAACCTACGTTACTTTTCTGCAAAGAATGCCTTTTTTTCCTCTTGGAAAGAAGATTCCCAACCATGACTTCTAGCAAAGTTAGTTTATCGCCTCTTGTGCGACGGCCGATTCAATTAACTCCGGCGATAGGAGTTATCGCGCATGTATGTATACGTCGACCGTAGTTAATTTCAAACTGCAAACTAAATACGCCCAGTGGCGACTGCGTAATAGTGATTGCAATATTAAGTGGAGAAATATGGCATGTATGCGTATCGGATGACAATCACGGATGCACGTCGTGACAAAATGGACAATCGATAATTTCAATGTGTGCTCATTAGACGCGATATACGCGAATCGCCGAGCGCTAAATATTCGCGCGACTTGCGGGAAAATCGTACAGCAGCGTGATAATCGCGAGAACCGATCGTGGAAGAATAATGAAATTCTCGCGCGGCACGTTTTCCTCTGAAACTTTCCCCGAGGGCTCTCCTCGCGAGTCCTGTTGTGGCACTTTGTCATTTCCCTCTCTCTCTCTCTTTCTCTCTCTTACGCACAACCGCTGAGCATTTTTACAATCTCAAAGTCGCGACAAGGTATCGGGGCGGTTGCGACATGCATATCGCACAATAGTAACGGTGAGACACAACGGTGAGGGAATTTGAAATTGCGCACAAGATCGATCAACGCGCGATTTCGAAAGATACTCGGTGCACACTTACCGTTCTCGATGGAGTAGTCCCACTCGTTCTTGGCGTCCATCGCCAGCAGCGGTGGTCACGGGCGAACTATGAGAAATTGAGGTCCGCGAAATTGAGATCCGAGTAGAGTTTGCACCCGCTCGTCTTGCCCGCCTGCGCCGCACGTGTTTCGGGACGAATGAACTCTCGCAAGCGCCCCACGGCCGCGGGTCGTCGTGGTGCGTCGAGAGTATGTCTCCAGATCGCCGCTCAACGGTCGCCTCAATGACGCGACCCGAACAAGTCACGACCCAGCTCACACGGAGCGCGACGAGATTAATCGGCGACTTTTCGCCAACTTCAGGATGCAGAAGCGCGCGCGTCTCTCGTCCTCGTGCACGGCGCACGTTCGGTGCAGGTCAAGCAGGTTTCAAGACCGCGCGACTCTGATAAGGCTGGCGCAATGTTTCCCTCGGGTTTCCTCGTCGCCTTTGTTTTCCTGGCGAGGTCCACAAACGACCGCGTCGTGTCCACTCCTGCGGAAGTTTTCTACGGTTGTAATACCGGCCGGCGCATCGGCACCGTTTTATACCGCGCGCGGTCACGTGACCCTACGGACGAGCTAGTCGCGCATGCGCCAGTAAATATTTACACGTGCGTGTCCCGCCTTCGTGCGCTACGCGTTCATAGTGACACACGTGCGAATTGCGAGGATGACGGATCGATGATCGATAAGTAACGCCGTTTTTGAGATACCTTTAAATATTAGACTTGAGTCACGCGTCAGCCTTTACGAAACGAGAAAATATGAGCGAGAGGGAAAACTGATGAGACAGATTTGTATCATCCGTGCTGCTGTGCGCACTCCCGTCGCTTCTACGAACAAGCGCATTCTTCACACTACCGTAGTTTTACTACAAACCCTATTGAAAAATTTCGATTGTAATCTCAAATGAAATTCTCGAAAAATTTCCTATATGAGATCTCAATTATTTCATATGATATCTCAATTGAAATATCATATAAATAGAAAAGCTTTTCTCTTTTTAAATTTTTAACGTATATTATAAATATTTAGTTACTGTAATATAACATTTATGATATAATCTAAAAATTAAAGAAAGAAGAAGCTTTTCTATATTTCATATATCTTAATTGAGATATTATGAAATAATTGAGATCTCATATGGAAAATTTTTCGGATATTTTGAGGTCTCAATAGAAATTTTTTAATAGGAAAATGATTTTTATCGCAAAAAAGTAAAGCATTAATGCGATATCAATTACAGAAAGATATTGGTTATATTGGTTCAACGGTTGACAATACTGAGTAAGCGTTTAGCTAATGGTTGCTAAACAAACGTTAAGATAAGATAGCTTTCACCAAACGAAAACGAGAAGCATCCATCTCTATGTTTCGTAATGAGTGATCAAATCGTCGCAGAAGCACGTGCCTGTCCCTCGCCGGCCGAGATAACACCACCTGGGCGATCAAATACGTCACAAAACGTGTTACATGCCGCAGCGTCATAATTTCGTCTTTACGGTGATAAAAGAGAATCTGTTGCAATAAATATTAAATATTCCGCCAAATCCCGCGCTGAGACGCTAATAAGTCTCTTTTCATCTCGCAACGTCGAGATGCATCCACGAGGCAGCATTCGTTTATCTTCTCGCTGCGATCAATCCTTGAATCGCGCTGCATCGTGAATAACTTCTTCCGGTCAGACGCAAGGGATCGTCACGAGACGCGATTCTAGTTTTTCACACGGAAACATATATAGTGGGACGCTAAAAAAAAGATAACAAATGTAACAATCGAGACTTCGTTTTTGCAAAATGTATGTGTGTGTTGCGCTATTTTCAATTATTTTTCCTCTATCGAGAAATTTAAATTGCAGAATGGAACGGCGCATAATACTTTCGAGAAATAGAAATGTAGGTCGGTGCGCAAAATGATAATCCGTCTCCGCGAACAGCTGTTCACTGTTTATTCTCGTATAAACAAAAAATATGAGGTACTTACATTGTTATTTATCGAGAGAATGATCAAAATGTCGTTTGGAATCCCAGATTTGTTGCTGTTATCTCTCCTTACGATTGCCTCGCCTAAACCGCAAGATAATAAAAAATGTATTTATTCGCTTGAATGACACAAATCCGCAACGCAAATTATTTTGCACGTAGGCTCAAACCGCTTACCGTGGGACGAATGGAAAATCGTATTGTGCATCGCGCGGTCTTGAAAATCTTACATAACAGAAGAATTGGAGTATTTGGTTACGTCACGTTTAACGTCCCACGCGATATAATCTGCAGAACACGGCGTCACTCGGGTGCGCGTGTGTGAGCTCCTTTTAATCGGATGAATATCACATAAGCTCTAACGAGATTTCTCGAGAGATGTCAAATGTGAGAACGCCGCAACTGTAAATATGAAATGTAAGAGTACATAAGACACATGTCACTCGGCGATTGTCGCAAAAAGAAATATTGCCGGGAAAAATGCGTCTCGAAAAATGTTGGGAAGAATAATATCGAATAGCAGGCAAACTCATGCGTAATATCAACGCGTGATTCGACGGAATTAAGTACCAATCGCGTGACTATAATTTGCTTGCGCAAACGTTCGATGCGAAATCATGTATACGAACTCGTGGCTCGCTTGCGAGTTTCGTAGACGACGGTGAGAGACGTGAACGACACGGAGAATAAGCGTAAGGATCAACCCTAGGGCGCAGAGTACCCTAAAATGATTTTATTAACTCTTAACTTTACACGTGTTTAGTATATAGTACTTGTCGTAGAGATATTTGTATATGTATGTTATTAATTCGATACCTTTTTTCCCATTTATCCTCTCGACGAGCGATACCGTTTCACGCGCCCCCAAAATAATCGCGCACAGCCGCGCGATCTATCTTGGAACGTACACGCTCGTCCGATACCATCGATTCCTTCCCTTCTTTCTTTCTTTTCTTCTCGCTCTCTCTTTCTCTCTCTCTCTCCCTCTCTTTCGAGATATGTTGTTTAGCGAACTTAAAGAATAAGTGGTCGACGGTTTCGTCATTCCGGCGATGGGAGGACGCGACGTGCAAAAACGACGTTCGTCGCTCGTCACACCGTTTCGCGCTTGTTACACCAACGCAAACGTTTTCAACTCGATATATGTGTATTATATATCGAAGCTCTCTATAGCGAATAAAAATAATCTGAAAATCCCAGTCACAATACGTTATTCTTAGGTATAGGTAGCTATGTATACAACGTACTTCTTCTCTTCGTATGGGCGATGCGAGATAGCTCTTTTTCCCTTGTTTTTCTCTGCAATGGAACTTTTTACTTGGCGACTGCCGTTTAGCCCGATCTCTCAAAAAGCGGCCGAATATACGATAAGCCACGGTGGTCGCGTTTAGTGCACATTTTGCCGTTTCCCTTTTTACACAGTTATAAAATACTTTCGATCCATTCGCGAATCACACAGGCCAGAAGTCGCTGCTTAGCAATATGTTCCTTGTGAAACTCATCTTTTTTTTTTTTTTTTTTTTT